TTTAGGTGCTGTTCACGAGGTTTCTTCACTATTACCACGATTTGTTAACTATTAACGAATAGTTAAGAAGCCTCTGTAAGGCTACTCAACTATTACCACGTCTCGTTAACTATTAAGGAATAGTTAAGAAGTCTCGTTAACAGCAACTATACTGGTAGGAATTTTTTTAAAAGTGAGCAATAGTCGTACTTGCATTCGCAATGCGAATTTTAATTCAATCTGAGATCAAATCTTTTATGGAATCTGTCGCTCAGGTCGGAAATTTAAAATAATTGGGTTTCGAAATGTTTAATCGTGTCTCGGAAATTGAGACACTTTTTTCCCCATTTTCACGACGTTTGTGTTCTCAAATTGAAGTCATTAAGACATGCATTCCGGTGCTATGATGTAGTCCGGATATTTTAAAATCATGTCATCATGAAAATCAAATCATATTATTTTGCCCCTAGTAAAATCATGTTGTTACTTCCCTCTAACGTGCAATAAGTCTAGTAAAAGAAATAATATTCCGGCTAAAAATTCGCCAAAAAATTGTTATTTTGCCTAGACAGCTTCCATTTTCCACTTGCTTTTTCCTCTCGTAACAATTCCAGAAAATTCAACACACGATTATTAAACTTCAAAGGCATTTTTCAACAAAATTCTTTTTCTGCAATACCTCCCCCAGTCAATGATTCAAATAAAACCACGATTACAATATTTTCCCAAGAATTCGTACCACTCAAACGTGACACGAAAGTTTAACGAAAACGAGGCATTCCAGCTCGAGGCGGGAATAAAACAAAACAGGGCGTAGAAAAGCAGTATCCCGTTTTGCTCAGCGGGTAACGAGCAGCTGCATTGCAACTTCTTTAAGTTGTTCTGAGTGATGTGAGATTGCTCCTGTAGACGACGATTTAGCACAAGGCGCGCGTATCCAGGAGCATTTCGTTTCATTATTTTCACCGTGTGGCAGATTTAAACAAGGCAAAAGTCTCCGCAAAACTCCATTCTTCCGCGGAAATTTATTCCCATGAACTAGAAATTATTTGCTTTACCCATATTTCCGCCGTTTTTTCCACTTATATTTCTCATATTTACTCTCTTTTTTTTCATCCTCCCCCACATTCCAGTTGACGGAACGTTATTCACAGTGTATTTACGAGCCTCGTGATAACAAAGAGTCACATTACACCGTTGCGAGAATCGATTGCACGGGGAAACGCATAATTTTGCGTAAAAATGCAGGCGAGATAAACAAACGTTTATGCTAATTACCACAGTTGTGATGGGAAATAGCGTAGAAGAAAATAGAGGTCGCGAGGGGTGGGGGAGGGGGAGGAGGAGAGGTGAGGATGAGAATGAGGGTTGAGGAATAACGAACGAGTGGTATGGTTGTGAGTAATGCCTCGTGGGTAAGCGGTAACGCCCTCGTTCTTTACCCAGCCCAGCCCACAGGCAGATATTTACAGCTGGCAGTGTTCAGTTTTCACGGTACTATAAGTAAAACGACACGCAATGTCGTGTTTGCCACCAAATGAGAGAGCTTTTACGCTCACCATCGTTCAACTCTGGTGGCATTTCATCCGGTGATGTTGTTGGTGGCGGAAAATAAAAGAAGAGTTGGTGTCGCAGGGGAGTTTGTGGGCAGGGGGTAGACACCTGTGCCTGCTGATGGGTGGCACGGCTGATGAAGTAGGAAAAGCAGTGTCTGATATTGAGACGCTTTTGTCACCTTCTTTAAGACGTTTGTGTCCCCACGAGGATAAGAGTTTTGAAATCAAGAGCCCTGGGTTCTTAAAATAAGAACCGGGAGGCGTTCAAATATTGCGTCAGGCGATTGGGGAGGAGAGGAGGATGTTGCGATGTCACACCATAATTGATGAAAATAATTGAAGAACGGAAGAATGTGCGATATAGTGATATTGAAGGGGAATTCGAAGGGAAAATGAGAATAAAAGAACTTTTTGGGATTAAAAACACTGATGAAAAGTATTTTTCCTTAGAATAATATCTGAAGTTTCAACGCGCTTTTGGTATTGTAGTGAAGTTATGTTTGAATTCATCTGATATTTTCTACCCTCATCACCTTTCCGACACTCAATTCAGAAATTCAATAAATTAGAGGAAAATGGATGTCACCAAAAACGACTTATGATTCCATTTTTTGTTTGCCCAGGCCATTGTTTTTGTGTCATTAGTGGGTTTTTCTCAATGTAGAAATCAAAATTATTGATCATTAAATTCTTTAGAAATTTTGATCAAACGATTCTCATGAAGTGTCAAGTAATTTCGTCATTGAAAATTTCTGGAAGCTCAAACTTTTTTTAATTCCACAGACATTTCAATGAATTCAAAAATTCTTAATTTAATTCAGTAGCGAAGTGGTAAAACGGTATAAGTCAATTTTGACTATTGGCCAGTTTTCAATAAATATCTCGGAATCTAAGGGCGATGGCAAAATTTTTGTTATCATCTTTTTTATAGAGCCGATTAAGAGCTATAACAAATGTAATTACGAAAATTTCGATATCTCCCTTACATTCGAAAATATTTCTCAAAAATTCAACTGGGAGATAAGTCGACTTGAAATTCCAGTTTTAATTATTTTTTAACCCCTGAATCGAATTTAATATCGTTCTCCCAAAGATTACTATCCCCGAAATTTCAAATTGTTTCCAACACTGATCGACATCCAAATAAAGACCTCATTCCATTTCCTTGGCATTGCTTTGATGTTCCCATTTTTCTGAAAAGATCCTCAAGTTAAGGGCATTCATCCTGAATCTTCATTCACCGAATTACCCCTCGCATTTGATACACAGTATTGCCCTCAGTCCAAATAGTTCGCGTCACAGTGTCGAAGTCGTTCCTCAGAATGGGAAAGAATCGAGATGTTCAGCAATTTGTCAGTCTTCCAAGATGTAATCTCCTCTCGAGAATGTCGACAATGAAGCCTTGGCCTGGAATCTATGAGGCAGTCTAGTTTTATTGGTCGCAATATACACGCTGTGCTTCAGATAAACTCAATTCCCCTTCTGGCAAAGTATACCCTCCTGCTGAATCGCCCAGTTGAAGAGCGATCTCCAAGCGATACACTCCTGCAATGACGGAAAAGAGGACCGAAGGGGGGAGGAAAATAGTTGGATAAAAAAGAAATATTAAATGACCCTTTTTGCAGGAATAACTTGGTACGACAGAGGGAGCGGATAGAAGAACGTGGCATATCGCACCGCCACGACCAAGCGGGAATACGAAGCTCGTAACTCGTTGGCACGACGTGCGTGTAACCGGAGGCCAATGGTATTTGGTATCATATTTCAGAATAATACTTGCGGTTATGCGTCTGGACTGTCGCGCTGGTTGCATACTAATACCAATGGTGCTTGCGCTTGCACCTTCTGGCTATATATGCAAGACTCCTTGGAATCGTGCAGCGAATAGAGTCGAAAAAGAGTTCTGTATAGTGTCATTGAATTCCAGCGGCTTTTATTGTATCCGGAATGAAAAATCAGTTTATAAAAATCGAGTTTGATGAATGTGTAAGAGGATAATCACTTTCACATCTAGTATCTCCAGTTACAACATTATGCATTTTAAACATGCATTTTAAACATTCTAGGTGTTTTACTTGAGGAGATTTTGTTTCAAACTTGTGGTGTCTTATTTGGTTTTCCAAATATTTCATTTATTTTGTCTCAATGGTAGACTATGTTACGTGGAAAGAGGCAATCAGTTTTTTTGCTTGAATTAAGATGTCTTGATGACATTAGTTTTTACAGTTTAATGGCTATTTTTAGGCCTCAATTGCACGGAGAGAAATGTTCAGTAAAAATTATGGAACTCGCAATTCGCTCACCGATTATGGGATCGACTCAGATAATTTAAGTGACCGTATCGCAGTTTTTCACAGGCGATTCAGATAAAAATTACGGAACGCTCTGGAAAAATTCCGTGACAATTCCGTAAAATTTTCTACAACCACATTTTGCTCCGAAATTACGGAAAAGATACCTAATCTTTATTGGATATTTCTCTCCGTGTGTTTTCGAGGAATATCTGCGAATCTAAGGGAGATAACGGAATTGTCGCTGCTGAATTCTTGGCAGCACAACTGTACAAATCGACAGACGGACACTAATAAACAATAATTCACCTTAAAAATTAGGGAAAGCGATAACGAAAGTGCAATTTTCCTTCCTTTTACTCGAAAATATCAAATAAAAGTCCATTTCATTAATTTCCGTCATTTTCCAAGATGAATTCTCATTATGTTTTGTTGAGGCCTTCTGCCAAAAATTTCGACCTTCATGTGGGATTTAGCAACGGAATAAATTAAATAAATTCCCAGCGCCCCAGAAAATTCTCTCGAACGAAAAACAGATTCTCTAGGCGATATCCTACGTTCAACCCGAATTTATCGTGCAGAACCGAAAATATACAAAATGTATTCCACTGGGCTGATGAAATTTCTCTCACATGATCGTTGAGTTGAACAGCTCCAGCAACCCATTCTCGAGATCACTACCCATCTGCGTATCAAGGGAGCGTTTCTACTCGTACGAAATGGAATTGCGTTTCGAACGGAATTCCAACGTTTCTCGTTCACTTTGGTTTGCCTTCAAATTATCTATCCCATTCTCCAGAGACGGCGATGTACGGTACCAGGAGAAACCTACCCTCTACTCTAGGACCAACTAGTCATTCGATTATTCCAGGGATACATCGCCAAAATTCAATGTAGGTACCAAATTTATGGATAGTAATTCTGCATCGACCAGTTCCATGAAAAATTGTTATTTCGCGTGCGAAATTCATGCTGTCATTGGTTCGTGTTCATTCGCAATTTACCCTTTTCAATCATGTGTTCCCATTTTCAGGGAATTAAAGTAAACACTTTTCGCAGTTGGAAGTGGAAGCTTTAGCTTTTCCAGTTGCTCAATGAAAACAGTATACAGTGATTTACAGTTTCATTGCCGAAAGTGCACGCGTATCGATGAGACAGAAATACAAAAGGAGAGAGAGAGCATTCAATACGCGTGATGGAGAGTAATGCCTGTAGAACCAGGTAAAACTTGGAATTTTCATTTACCCCGGTGCAATACAGATAAGTCCATTCGTGACTGAGAGATATAATTTTTCTTGCGATAGTTACATTCATGTGTTCTGAAATGGCTTCTTCCATTTCGTTTTGGCACTGGAAAGCGGCAGTGACGTGATTTACAATAAGTGGCCTATTTTCAAAACTCAAGGGATGAAGAAAAAATGTAAATAGAATGCAGTTTAGTGTTATCATTCGTCTTAATCAGGCGGAATGGCCCCACATCCATCTTGTTAAATCTTGATTCGTTCGTGCTTTTCTCGTCCAGAGATTGCATTTGTTCTGGGGATTCATGGGAGATCCTTTTGGACAGTTAAAGGCTTTTGCAAAATCTTCCATGTTTGATAGGGTACCAATGACCCGCAAACGGTGCAGACTGTGATGATCCTCCTCATCCGTTGCTTTTTTCCTCATGAATTCTGGGGTAGCTTTGCTGCACCATAACTGTAATGATAGACATTTATTTCGGGTAATTGGAGGGGTCCCCTAAGGGGGAAATTAATCATAGAAACTCACGCTGGAAAAGAGGATGAAGAATGCTTGCTCGGTTGAGTAGTCCTCGAGTCCTGGTAATTTAGGTTCGGGGGATCCTCTTTTCGGGGTGCGCGATTCGTATGCCTCGAAGGATACTCGAGCTCCTTGATTGTCAGCTATGTTTTCGTGGAGTGTCGTTACACCTATCTGCAATTGTTTTTTTTTTTTTTTCAAAACGGCAAGACATTAACCCAATTACGAAAGGGAATCATAAGATTTTTCTGGTGACTTATCCATTTTCTTTCAATTTATTGAAGTTCTAAATTTATTATTTTAAATATTTTTTTTAATTTTAAATTTTTATTTTTATTTTTTTATTAGGTGTCAAAAGGGTGATGAGAGTAAGAGACGTCGAATGAAGGCAATAGTATCATTGCAGGATCAGAAGGGCGTTCAAATTTTAATTATTATTTTAGGAACAAAAATTTTCCATGAGGGTTTTGATCAAAAAATTCCTTTGCTCTTATTTTACCAACTTCCTAACTAAAATTAACAGTGAAAAGAAAGAATGCAGTATCTGGAAAAACAATAATAGATCCTCGATTAGGACACCGAGAATATTTAGAATGCATGTCTTAATGTCTTAATTTGAGACACTCAAAATGACTTCAATTTGGGGACAACAGTTTCTCCATTTCAAACCCCAGTTTTTCCATTGATGTCTATTCACTCACCCTGTTGTTCCGCCCATACTTTTTATACTGATCGTCAAAGCATCCTGCATTTTCAATATAACTTCCCATAAAATTTGATCCCAATCTCCGGAATCTACCGTTTTCATCATACTGAATACCTATAAAGGTGGAAATATATTTAAAAACTGTAGCCAATGCTCTGCAAAGTTTCACAATTACCTAGGGGATCGAATGCATGCGAAATTTCGTGGCCGGCGATGGATCCGAGCACAGCATAATTCACAACACTGAAACAGAACGGTGGCTTTATCGAATTTTTTATTCAAATGACCCTCATGATCAATCCCACTCACTCTGGGAGGACCGGCGAGAAAAACGGGAGTTGGAACGTTGCCGCCGGCAAATCTGGTGATAAATATTGATTAGTGGAGCGATAGTTGGGGACATTTATTTTTAGTATACAATAAATTACCTACTGATATTGTTCAGAAAAATCCGATAGAATGCATTGACGGTTACGGGATCCCCGTACCACCTGGAAATGATTAACATTGGTTATATCCTCTGAATTTTCAATTTATACTCGAAATATTGTCTCACAGGGTCCGTGTGTCCTTGCTCCTCAGTAATCTGGCTTTGTTCCCTGCTATGAATTTCGCCCAGCTGATAATGTTGTCTAGATAATTCGAAGTTATCGACAGCTGAAATTATTCATGACACTTATCCATTAAGACGTTTGGACAAGCGATAAACAATTGAATTACTTGAAGTACATACGTCCCAGTAGGCTGTCGTCATGAATTCCCTATCATCGTACCAATCTGGATAGCCTATCAAGGCAAGAATATTCTTTAATTTCCTGATGATGATGTTTTTGGTGTAATCATCTATCCAGTTGGCTTTCCGAATTTCCTGCTCCAGTGTTGATTTCAGAGACGTAATCATTCTCATTGCCTGTGCATTATAAAATTCGTCACTAAATCGTATACCTAACGCCTGAATATGTAAAATTACCGTGTCCTTGTCTCGATCAGTGAAATACTTTTTTACAAACTCTGGACCAACAGCATGATGCAGATGCATCGCTCCAACGCACTCCTCCCACCTGGAGATAGAATGAATTAATTTGAAATTACACTCATCAATTGATGAAGTACTCACACAGGTCTGTTGCCTCTGACGCCATACGTATCCCTTTTGAATTCCACCAGAAAATTATTCATCCTGTGATTAGTGGCATCGATGAGATCGCTTGCAAAATGCCAATGCACATAATTCACTGTGCGATGTTATCGAAAATTAATTGTTACGTCTGATCGCATGAGATTGTGGTAGATACATTGAAATTAACAATACCAATAGTGCGCATTGGTGTGTCCTTCAAAAGTGTCCCCAACTCGTTCATGTAATCGTAGTATACGTTGATGACTTCAGTGGATGGTATCGTCAGATTTCCGAAATTGTAGATTTGTTGGATATAATCAGTTATGTTGACCTACATTCGGAGTGAACATATTACTCCGTCATAGTCGGTTTTCATAACGCATAATATGTGGTTGCATTACCTTGGCTGTTTCGCTCGATCCAAAATAATAGTGATAGTGGGACGTAACGTATTCCACGGTGGGATATTGGAATAATCTTCCTAATGGGATCTTGTAAATGCAAACGAAACGAACTTCAATAATAATTTGCAGACTTCGGTAAACTAGCTTATACTATTCAAATTTACTTTGCTCAGCTTGACTTCGAAGTTGACCATGTCGTTTACGTCCTTGGAGATTCTGGCGGCATTTATTCTAGAACCTTTCGCGTCGATAAAAGTCTGGGCAACATTTTTTATGAGTTTGATGTATGCATCTCGGTCCCTCTCGTCGAACTTCTTTCGCAGAATTGGCAATTTATAGGCTAATGGAAGAGGTGCTTTCGTGACCTGTTCAACAATCAAAATCCATGTGTCAATTGAAGCATATCGAAGTGGGTTTTTACGCGATAATAGCTTCCTGGAAAAATACACTTTTAGCTTTTTTTTCACTGCACTGGATTCTCTTGTCATATAAAAGCGAATAAATTGAATGAATGCAGGGAGTGAAAGAAAATTCCATCTCAACGATTTAATATTCATCATCAACTTTTAGCGCTCACCATAATTTTATACCGCAGTAGATCCGCATAATTCTTTCCGCTCTCTATCAAATAAAATGCATGCCGGCCGATTAACCCACCGTAATAAAGATCGACATTCTGCCACGAGACATTCCTCGCTGCCCATTCACGGTCCGTCATTGTTATCGGCCAACCACCAATATTCCCCATAATAGTCCATAGTTGTTTGATCCCAACTGCTTCTCTCTGACCTACATATTCCATTGTTTTCCATTAATATTTCCTCTAAATGAAAATAAAGCTTTTACCTGTATTCATGCACGAGCTGTACCATCTCCTCGCTTTATTCAACATTTCGTAGTCTGCGGATTTGGGAGCACTATCCAAAATCTCTGAAATATCAATTTTCCATTATGATTGGAGGGATGTTATGACTGAACCATTATTTCGTAATTAGCGCGCTAAACTTGCCACGTGTTTTCTCCTTCGCTTGCTTGAAAAGCAACACAAATCGATTCCATACGGCCTCGCCGGGTGGAATAGAACTTCGAGAGATCCAATTTCCGCAGGTATATTCCCAGAAATCATCACAAGGGTTCACTGATTTATTCATTCCCGCCCCGATCATATTCCCTGAACAAGAAAACGCAATGTCTTTATTAATCATAAATCACTGGTTTCGAATGCTCACCGAGCGCTTTGCATTCCTTAGTCTTGCAAACTGTCGATGACTCTCGATTATTTCGAATAACAGTGTAACAAGTAACTCCATCGATCCACTTAACTATCAGAAGAAATCTGAACAAAAATATTCCAGTTATATCAGATGTTTATCACCGTTTTCATACCGCGACGTACACTATGGATTTGAATTTCATCTTAGAATCGACGGGAGATGATACCGCTTGGCAATCGTCTTCAGCGCCGACTGTTCAATGTCATATACTCATCATGACTTTTGTGTAGACCGAATGCGGAAAAAGGTTAACGAGATGTACGACGTTTTACTCAGAAATTATTCTCGCGTTTATTAGTACTAACTGCCGACGCAATGCATGCATCTCCTTTGTTATTCAATTTTTTACCTTCATGCAGAAAACTACTATTTATATAATTTGAAATTGGTTTTGACTATTCAAGAAAATTAAGATCAATGCCTTTGTGAGGATTGCGAGTATGAATTGTAATAAGCGCTGTCTGCAGGTTCTTTTTTATTTACATAAAATACTGCGCGATATGCGTTGAATCAAGTTGGCTGATGCAATAGTAATGATTGCTAGATCGGAATTTCAATGTGAAGGATTGTGAGGGAATTTAATCATTTGCACAGAAGATGTCATTGATTCACTTGGCGATTATATTTTCAGTACAATAGACAGCGATTAGGATAGTTCGAGATTACAAACAATTTAATTTATGCCGGTAATTGATTCTAGTGATAGGAATCACCATCCGTTGAGTGACCACCTGCTACGACGTCGTCTTCTGCTCCACAGGTTATCGTCAATTTCATTGGTCAGAGTTGATTTCTCAGCTTTCCAAATATCGCACTTATCTTCCGGATTCATCGGACTTCCCTTCGGACAGTTGAAAGCTTTGGCGAAATCATCGGTATTTGATACTGCTCCCATCACCCTTAAACGAGGAGGACTGTGCTCATCTTGATTCTTCAGCTTTTCGGCGTATTCTGGCCTCATGACTTGACACCACGCCTGCAGACAGTTTTTTTTAAATATCGTATCATGAACATAAAACCAAAAAAATGATACCTTATTTTAAGATTTCAAAGGTCTTGAAATACCATTGACAAAAGTCTTGATTTGAGCCTGAAGGTCTCAATTTAAAGTAGCTCTACCCTTACGGTAAAGTCAAAGATTATTGAAAACTGCAAAAAAATTGCAGAACACTCGATTAGATTCGGAATTCTAATTTTTTTCTCAATTTAATTATCGTTTTGTTTTTTCAAAGAAGAAACGTTTAAAAATCAGGATTTAATCCAGTGTCTTATGTGAAAATCAACATTTAATTGTAATGAAAGATTAAAATATGAATTTTTTTTCATTAGATGTGAAAAAATCAAGAATTTTTTTGACACCTCATAAAAAATAATCCACCGTTTAGCAAACAAGTTTTATAATTTATGTATAAGAGGGAAATGTTTGAAAAAATATGAGTATTTTGCGAAATTTAATTTAGATAATACTGACTGGGTATGAATTTTTTCAAATTTTTTCCATGCAATTTAGTTGAAAAATTTTAAAACTGAAAATATCCAAAAGTACAGCGTAGCCCGGGCGAAGGGTAGAGTTACTTTAAAATCATAAGTCTCAGTAAGTTCAGTCCAGTTAATTAGAGAGCGAATAGAATTTTGCTGAATTGTCAAAGAATTTCCACCGAACACTGTTCAGTAATTTACATTTCACCTTAGTTTTACTATTTTTTGTTGACTCTGTTCCTCTATGTACCGAGGTAGTCATGTTTCTGTGCAGACATATTTTATGAAAATTATATTATGCAAATTAGATCATTGTGGGGAAGAAGAAAGTTATTAATACTCACAGATGCAAATGAAATGAAGAACATTTGATCATCGCTATATTCCTCGAAGCCAGGCAGTTTGTCGTCAGGTCTGCCTCTCTTCTCTCGTAATTTTCGATATGCCTCAAAAACTGAGTGGAGTCCTGTTGTATCGGCTATGTTTTCACCTCTCGTCTTACGGCCAATGCTCCTCGCCTACCGAATAACGAAGAGTTATGTCTCCATTGTTTAAGTACCCGTTTTCCCTGGGAATGTATGTACACTCACGCGATATTCCGGAGTTCCACCGTAAGATGTAATTTCCGTTACACCCCAATAGTTATTAAATTGATCCAAGAAGCATTCAGCGCGCTTGTAATAGCCTTCTATCATGTTGTTTGACCATTTAGTCTCCTTGCCGTCTTTGCCCAGTTTGATTCCTGTAATATTTGTCAAATTACCAGATCAGATAGTTATCGGATAGTTATCAGATAGTATCATTACGATGAGAGGAGGATTTCATTGACACTTACCGTTATCATCGAAACCGTGCCCTATCTCGTGACCTATTATGCAGCCAATCGAACCGTAATTAATATTACTACAAAAGGAAATAATTTTCATCTAGAATATATTGAAATTAATTGCATAGAAAATATTTGAAAAGTACTCACTCTGGGAAATTTGGAGTGAAGAAGGGGGCTTGGAAATCTGCAGCAGGAATATCTGTAAAAAATCTCCAATTGAGTAATTCGGATACAATTATTGGAGAATGATATGTGTTTATATAAGATGCCTACTTATGTTATTACTCTCTGGTCCATACATAGCATTAACAACTACAGGTTGCATAGCCCAGCTAGAAGTTATATTTTGATTAATATTTTGCATGGAGCGAAAAAGCTTATTTGATGCTTACGGTTCTTCATCCTTTTCGTTCTTCAGATATCGTAACTTCTCCCTTACTGCGTACTTTTCGAAGCTCAGGATATTTTCAAAATAGTCGTATCCAACTTTCAACTGCGTATAATTGACTCATCAGAATATTAAGTTGATTAATGTTATGTTGAACATTATAATTATGATTACCAACCCCTTTGTATAAGTTCATCAGAGCAGTTTTGTTTCTGTACCAGGTGGGGAAGCCAATGAAGATATTCATGCTCCTCAATTTGTCTTTTGACAATTCTTTGGCAGCATCATCGAGCCAGTTTGATTCATCGATTTGCGATTCCATTTCTTTTCGGATATTTTCCGTTAGTGCCAGTGCCTGATGATTAAAAAATTCTTGCTTTATTGAGGTATTATGCATAAAGAAAGATACGTAAAATAAAAGTGAAACGATTCACTTACAGCCTTTTCCGTTCTTTTATCGAAGTACTTTGTGACAAATGCGTAGGAGGAGGCATGATCCATTTTGACCTTCTGTACACATTCCATCCAACTGAAAATAATGAATCAGTGAATACGGTGAAAGCAACTTCACCGGAAAACAAATCACTCCTCTAATAATAATTACCGTGGCGGTCCCTCCGTTGCACCATTATCTTTCTTCACCTGTGAATTGAAAATTTTTTCCAATTCTTTCGTTGTATAAAGCAACATTCTACTCACGAAATTCCACTGAATGTAGTTTGCTGCCGTAAAGAAAAAAGAACTGATCTTTCTGAGCATGCAAATGATACCAATAACTCATAGCAACTTCACGTAAAGCTCACCAATGGTCCGGGCAGGTGTCTCTGTCAACAACACTGTTAGTTTACTGTAGTAAGATGGAGACTGAATGCTCATTGCCATCGAATCTTCAATGTGAATGTTCTCCATTCCGAACAAAATTTTGAAATAACTCTCGAAGTCAATCTACAAACAGATGAATTAGTGTTTCAATAAGAAATCCAGATATCGGGGTATTGATAATTACCTTATCTTTGTCAGCAAGATCAGCAACGTCGTTATTGTAACGCTCCAAGAATTTTCCAACGTTTGAATCCTCGTCACCATGATCGTCTGTGATCAGCTTCAGAAGAATGAAGAAAGAGTTACAAAATGATTTAATAATGATTTAAAATGATTTGATAATGGAGCTAAATCTATGCCATACCCTAAAAAGTTGCATATCGAATGCCACTAAAGCCTCAATATCTTTTTTCAACATTTCATCTGTCACAGCGGCTTTACTATGTTTGATGAACTCCTTGGCAACCTGTTCTATCACGCTTGCATACTCTTCTGACCTTTCGCTCCGAGACATAAAATATTCTTTGGGGAATTCTGTAGAAAATGGTACAGCGCCAGGTGCAAGCTGAAAAAAATCATTTCCATCAAGTCTCGGGAACTGTAGAAGAGGTTTAAAAATAGGTGACGTACAGTTATTTGTTCCAGGAATGGTTCGTTGAATTCTTTTCTGTACCAGGGAGTTCTAATGTCGACAAAAATGAACCTGCCGTTGATGTATACATAGTTCTTCTCAATTTCTTGCCAGGAGATTTCACCTTCATACCACTCCTCTGGATCCATAATCATTGGCCAACCCCCTGTTCGCATTAAAATTGACTCCAAAGGTTTGAGCCCACGCCTCTCCCGTTCTTCGAGGTCCATGCAGGAGCTATACATTTTTTTCGCTTGCCTGACAGGTAGAATGTCACTGGATTGAGGCTCTGATTCCAGGATACCTGAATAATCAAAGAATAATTCAGTAGCGAAGTGGTAAAATGGTTTAAGTCGATTTATCTCCCAGTTGAGTTTTTGAGGAATATTTCCAAATCTGAGAGAGCGAAATTTTGGTAATCACATTTTGTAGCTCTCAACCGGCTGTACAAAAAAGGTTCCAAGGTATTCATTGAAAACTGGTCAATAGTCAAAATTGACTTGTACCACTTCATCACTTCGCTACTGAATTAAAATAAAGTCATAATTTTAATTACTCTACAGATTACATTGATGTCGATATCCCGCATGATACCTTTGATCTTCTTGTTCACAGTGAATTGGAATAACTCTGAACGTCCCCAGCTCCCTTCATAAGGTGGTATAATATCAACTCGTCCATTCCACGCTCCACAAACGTAGTCGTAGAAATTGTCGCAGGGGTCTACCGATTTATTCATACTTTTCTGAAATTCGTTTGCTGAAACAATGATAAAAATCCATGACGCAATTTAGCCCTCATTATTCACGGATTTCGAAAAAAAATTCAATTCACTAACATATAATTTTGCAGGCATCAGTACGACAAATTTGAAATTCTTCTTCTTTTTCGGCTCGTTCGTTCCTCTTCGCATCATTAAATAGCCACCCAACATATTCCTCAGAATCCTCGGGGGATAGTCCCAATTCCGAATTCTTTGCGAAAACTACGGCATTGAGCACCAAGAGAATTCTGGAAAATCCAATCGTATAGAGTGAAACACAACACATTTTTAACACGAGAACGATCGCGCACTTGAGCGCGCGTGTTAAAGACAAATCGTGACACGAAAACCGAAAACCGACCGAAGTCGAACACGTGCGGGCGGATCCGAATGTTCGACCAATGAAATTCGAGGAATGGGCGTTACGCTACAGCTTACTAGTCCAGTCGGAGCGCGTCGGAAAAAGAGGTTTGTTGTCGATTTTTCTTTATAAATTACCGATTTCGATGATTTTTTTTTAATGCTCAGAATAACGTGTAGATCAAATGTGATAGAGTCCCAAAGTGTGGTTTTTGTTTATTAACAAAATGCCCCTTGGAGCAGTCACTTTGGATTAAAATATCTCGGAAACTATTGAGAAGTGATCGAGACATGCAACAGCAAAGATTTAGATAATTTCGAGACGAACAGAATGGTTTTCGACTCATTTGTCTGTATCACTAATAGTTTTCGAGATATTAACATTTATTTGTCGAGACGCGCGCCGAAAATATATTTATTCCGCTCAAAAATATCGAGATAACTTCGTCTAATAATATAAGATACGTGGAGTTAACGTATAGTTTGATGTAAATAGATAAATAATTTGTCGCCTCAAAATCTGTTTTTTTTTTTCACGTACACAAGTCAAGCGGAAAAGAAGTACACTATTCCGCTGAAATTTTTGAAATTTTCTGCGGATCAGAGGTTTGATCTTCTCAAACTTATCCGTTTGTGACCTCAGAACTGGACTTTGATTTCTCAATCAATAACTATCAATGGCGGGGAAACAAATGAGTAATATTGGAAATAATAGAGAAAGTCGCAGTACAGATTATACAGTCGTATTTTTACTGAAAGAATGGTTCTCCTGTCAGCTCTGCTTCGGGAAAAATTTTTTGGTTTGCAGTCAAACAGATTATTATTTATCATGGTATTTGAATCCTGGCATTCTACTCGAAAGAATATGTATTCATATGCCACTGTCAGATTTTCAAGTGGAAAGAATAAATTTTTCGCTGCAGAATATTTTCTCGTGGGGAATAATCTTGAGACAAGAAAATTTTGTACAGGTGAACATTTATCTTTTCGGCAGAGTTAATTTTTTCTCTCAGTGCGTTATAAACTTGCGTTTTGAACTCTAGTTTCCGAGTTGAAAACCAGAGCTGTACCAACATTGTCCAGTGGGGTCTAGGAGTCTCCCGTGGTTCAAAAATCATCCTTAGAATAATTTGCACGCCATTTCGCGACCGCATAAAAAAATTTAAATGAATGTGAAAATCGCTTACTCTGTTCATATTTATGTAAAAATTGTTCAGAAAGCTCATGTAATAATAGGATAGTAAGTCTGCCATTTTACTGTACAGTTGATGATGTTCATGATTTTAATGATGTGAGCGATGATCGTCGAATGGGAGATGAATCGAAGCCATCCCTCGAAAATGAATATGATGAAGAAATTTATGACGTGCCTGGCCCATCATGGGCTTGATGATATACTTTTTAAGGTTGATAAACACAGGTACAAAATAAAGAATACAAAAACAATAATAATGAAGTCCTCGAAATAAAAATCCATCAATTATTAATAAACTCATCATCCTATAACCGCTTAATTGAAAATGATCCCAATGAAACAGTGTAATTCATCATTCAGTTTTAGAATAGGATAATGAATCATCAAGATATATAGTACTTACCCAATTATTCTTATTGCCATGATATGATGAGATGCTAAATTATATGCATTCAACCGAAACCATGCAGTAACACAAATTAAACGTTCCGAAGTTGGTTATTTAAACTAATATTAAAGCGGATGTACCTTGAATGATTTCCTCTGATAGGAATTTGCATCCTCGTGAAAATTATAATCAATTGCCAAGTCTATAGAAATCATAGTTGTACATGCGTAGCTATCAACGATGCTAGTTTAATTTATCATAGTTTTATAAATATCTTATGAGGCGGAAGTATATTCTCATTACGGAGTCGGAAAAAAGGAATTTGATAAAGGGTATCTTATCATAAAATTCTTTACCCGCCGCTATTGCAAGAGTTGATGTGCTCTGGTAAACGTAAAAAGAGTTCCGGATAATTGAAATAATACTGGTCAATTTTTCATTCCAATTTTTTGATATTTTTGCTTTTCATGGAAGATGAGTTCCAAAAACTCCGGACTCTAAATTCTTTGCAAAGACTACTGCATTGACTACTAAAAGACTTCTAAAAATTCGAATTTTATAGATTATAAATATACCACAATCTACCAGCTATTTCGAATACAATTAGTTTTGGGAACACACGATACTCACCCAATTATTCTTAACGCCAAAGTATGGTGTTTATTTGCAAAGGAATATTCACTCAAGCAGATTGATGCAGCATCATCAATTAAACATCCCAAACTCTGTTGTGTGAACTAATGTTGAAACGCATGTATCTTGAACAATCTCTGTAAATAGGTATCACTGTATAGTGTACATCCTCACGTAAATGATAATTGACAGTCAAGCCCATCTAAACCATCGTCATACATCTGCACCCATTAACAATGCAAGCTCAATTAATAATAATTGTGCTGATATACCATCGAACGGATATGTATTCTCATTACAGAGGATGAAAAGGAATGAAGATTTTGTCAAAGGGACCGGATGAGCAAGGGTATCTGTATCGTGTAGGCATACATCGTCACTACTGTCTATGTTATGCCAAAGAGGAAAGGGTTTGATGGAATAATTGAAGGTTCAATTGATTTATTAAAAATACTCTTAGACATAGTCTAGATTGAAAATGAATGAAATTGGAATTATAAATTTTATCTCCCTTCATGGTTCAAGTCTAAGAGGAACTGATTAAAGTGAAAGAAACAGGATTCTTTTTTAATAAACGAAGAATATCAATTTAGGTTGAAACGACTCTCACAAGTCTATATTTAAAACAAAGAAAGATTCACTTCGAAATAGTTACAAAAAAATGATAATTAATTTACGTGATAATTGTTGCCGTAGAATATGAAGTATACTTTCTAATTTACTTGTTAAAAACCGATTCAATATAAACTAGAAACTGATTCTATAAAAAACAGATTTTAATTCAAGTGAATTTCAATTGAGCCATGAAAGACTCATAAAGAGAATCACAGATTCTGAATAAAATCACACAATGGGTCGATTAATAAGTTCACTTGCAATTGAGCGGAAAATACAGACAGTATTCATGTTCAATGGAAAAATTTAATTAGATATTTGGGGGATCCATAATAGACCTCGTCTAATCAGCGACATGCAGTCGCGTGCAAGTTATAAGATACAAAATATTGCCCCAGGCAAACACTTGAAGAGTGTTTGGCGGCTTATCTCTTGAAACTTGATTTTTTCGTGTTTGGAATTTTTCCGGAAATTGAGTTAAAAATCTTGTATTAGAGATGATTTATTTTATACAGCTGCACCGTTGAACCATGGAAAAATAATTGGTTGAGTCCATGACAAAAATATTTAAAAGGGCAAACACGTCTGGTAGTCTCTAATTGTTATTGAAGTCAGAGAAAAATTGAGTCAAATCTATTTTTCACCGGACGTCACAACTATCAGCGAAAGATTAACAATTCGTCATGTAAGCTAGACCGTGATACAATATCCTAAGGCAAACACGGAGAGAAATATTCGATAAAAATTACGTATCTTCCATAATTCGGGAGCGAAATGTGGTTGTAGGAACCTGAATCTCCTGTGAAAAATTACGATACCGTTACTTAAATTTTCTAAGTCGATTCCGTAATCGGTGAGCGAATTGTGAGCTCTGTAATTTTTACTGAACATTTCTCTCCGTGAAGGCAGGAAAAAGTTGTAATTTTGGAGTAATAAATGTCGCATCAGATTCATCGTTCAAAATCACTTTTATTTCCACAATTGTATTTTCATTAGCATAAACATAGCATTGACTTCAAAGTTTATTTTGCATAGAATTGTTTCGTCGTAAAAATCACCAACCATTCAGGGCCCATCTGCTACTACGTCTTCTTCTGTCGCATGGAGACTTGTTAACCTCATTGGCCAGGAATGATTCCTCAGCTTTCCAAATATTACATTTATCGTCAGGATTCATAGGACTACCCTTCGGACATTGAAAAGCCCTGGCAAAATCATTGGTGTTCGACACTGCCCCAATTACTCTCAAATAACCAGGACTATGCACATCTCTCATTTTCATCTTTTCCACATATTCCGGTTTCATGACTTTACACCACGACTATAGAGAAAATTTTCATGGTTATTATATTATGAAACCTTGACGATTGGGGAGGGGGTCAGTGAAACTCACAGATGCGAATGAAATGAAGAACATTTGATCATCGGTATATTCCTCAAAGCCAGGCAGTTTGGCGTCAGGCTTGCCCTTCTTCGCTCGTAATTTTCGATAGGCCTCGAATACTGAGTGGAGTCCGGTCGTATCGGCAATGTTTTCGCCTCTCGTCTTGCGTCCGAAGCTTCCCTCCTTCGAAATAATCGACAGTTATTTCTTCTTCATTGGCTACATAACGGTTTTTTTCAGTGATCTATGGATGATGGTACTCACGCCATACCCCGGAGTCTCATCATCATATGTGGGTTCCGTTACACCCCAATAGTCATTGAATTGATCCAAGAAGCATTCCGCACGTTTGTAATACAATTCTATCATGTCATTTGATAACTTAGTTTTGTTACCATCCTTGCCCAGTTGAATTCCTGCAGCAATTGTCATATTATCGAATCAGATCGTTGGCTACAATCAAAATGAGAGGGTAATTTCATTCACACTTGCCTGAATCGTCGAAACCATGCCCCATCTCATGGCCTATTACGCAGCCAACAAGTCCGTAATTGATATTACTACGGAAAGAAACAATTCCGATATAACATGCCGAAAGGAAGTGAAAAGATGATATCTGAAAAGTACTCACTCAGGAAGATTTGGTGTGAACAATGGTGGTTGGAAATCCGCAGCGGGAATATCTGTAAAAAAACATGTCATTCAGGAGTTGTAGCAATCCTAATCATATAGAAGGACAACATGTATTTGTCGGGTCTTTACTTATGTAATTTTCCTCTGGTCCGTACAAAGCATTAACAACTACAGGTTCCATATCCCAACTAGAAATTATATTTTCATGAATATTTAAAATTGAGGTGAAGTTTGATTTGAAAACTTACGGTTCTTCCTCTTTTTCGTTCTTCAGGTATCGTAACTTCTCTCGTACTGTATATTTTTCATAACTCAGAATATTCTCAAAATAGTCATATCCAACTTTCAACTGTGAATAATCAACTCATCAGAATATGGGATCTTCGTCATTAATTATACAGATACTAACCCCTTTGTACGAATTCATGACAGCAGTTCTGTTCCTGTACCAGTCCGGAAATCCGATGAAGACTTTCATACTTCTCAACTTTTCTTTCAAAAGCTTTTTCGCGGCATCGGCGAGCCAATTTGATTTGTCGATTTGTGATTCCATCTCTTGACGTATATTTTCTGTCATTTCTAATGCCTAATGGAGAAAAATGTTGAAAACATATGTCCGTATTCAATATATTTTACATTGAATTCGAAAACTCACAGCTTTCTCTGTACTTTTATCAAAATACTTCGTGGCAAACGCATAGGACGCAGCATGGTCCATTTTAATCTTTTCCACACATTCCATCCACCTAGAAAATATAATAGTCCATAAAGCTGACGTTAACAACTTCAATGGTATGAAAATTATTCCTCCAACTACCGTGGTTTCCCCTCTCCAGCGCCTGTTTCTTCCTCCTTCAATACATGGAATATGTCCCCCAATTTTTGCGTTGTATATAACAGCATTCTACTAACGAAATTCCAGTGAATGTAATTGGCTAAAAAGAGAAAACCGGTCAACTTTCCAGGGCATGCAAATTATATCAAGAGAGTAACTTTATGAAAAACTTGCCAACAGTTCGGATGGGCGTCTCTTGTAACAATACTGTTAGATTACTGTAGTAAGTTGGTGATATAACGTAGAGGTTGGTGGACTCTTTAATCTCAATGTTCTCCATTCCAAACAAAATTTTAAACAGATTTTGGAAGTCGATCTGAGTATAGATAAATCAATAAATCAATAGAAAATATGGATGGTTCGTTAATTAGTGATTACTCACCTTATCTCCATCTGAGAGATCAGTTACATTGCCACTGTAATGCTCTAAAAACTCTCTGACTGTTCCATGTTCGTAATCATCTGTTTCTTGCATCACCTTCAAAAATGCAGAATAACCATAAATGATCGAGGCATTTTAGGAAATTAATCTATACCGTACCTTGTATAGTGCTCTATCAAACGCGACCAGAGCCTCAACATCTTTTCTCAACATTTCTTCCGTCACAGCGGCTTTATTATGTTTAATGAATTCCCTAGCAACTTTTTCAATGATACTTGCATACGATTCCAAAGCTTCCTCCGTAGAATTTCGACGTGCGACCCGGAGCTCATCCTGGAATGGCAGATCACCAGGTGCGATCTGGAAAATTCATTTGAATCAAAAGTCTCAGTCGCTGATAAATTGTGTTAGGAATGATAAACATACACTTATTTCTTCCTCGAAATCTTCCCCAAACAATTTTCTCCACCACGGAGCCTCAATATCGTAGAAAGTGAACCTGCCATTAATGTAGAAATAATTCTTCTCAATATCTTGCCAGGAGACATCCCCTTCATACCACTCCTCCGGGTCCATAATCATCGGCCAACCCCCAGTTCTCATTATGATGGACTCCAACGGGTCAAGTCCCCGTTTCTCCCGTGCCTCCAAGTTCATGCAGGATCTGTACATTTTTTTCGCTTGTCTCACAGGTAAAATGTCGCTCGGGTGAGGTTCCGATTCCAAAATCCCTTATCATAAATCGTAGAAGTTATTGGAAAATTTCAATCACAATGAATAGAGAATCGACAAATTTCAATTCCAACTCTGAAAAAAAAATTTCTAATATCTGAAACATATTTTCTTGAGGCAAGTAAATTTTCTTCAATTGCTTAATTCTCTCAGGCATCTCAACTCACATGACCCGAGAAAGGCCTCATGCTTTAAAATATTCTTGTACTCAAGTATGATTTTGTCGCAAATGAACTTACTTAAATCGCGTAGAAGTATCGTCAATCTTCTATACTGATAGAAAAGGTGGAACGATTCAGTTCCACCAAACGAGGCTTCTTAACTGTTGCCGCCTAACTGTTGTTAACCATTTGTTAACGAATCGTGGTAATAGTTACAAAGTCTCGTTTGGTTCGAATAAACCGTTCTATCAGTGTAGTCTTTATTGTTTTTATGATTTTTTCGTTATGTACTTCCAATATTGCAATATGTAAAATATTCATGACGCGGAACGATAGTAATGAATAAAAATTTATTCGAGTTCCGTGAAATGCACACATTCTGAGATTTAAACCATTGAAAATAATTTACTTCTCTCAAGAAAATATGTTTCAGATATTAGAAATTTGTTTTCTCAGTGAATGAATAATTAAAGTCACAATGATTTTTAGCCGTCAGATATAGTGATGCCGCGAAACACTTTACGAGACAAAATTTTGGAGAGATGATCTCGGTCTCAACGAACATGGAAATCATTGCTCTCATCGCAGTCCCGAAATACCCAGTATCGACTCCTCTCGTGATGACTCCGAGTCAATTTATCTCATCTCGGTCTCAAGTTTTTTCCATTTTTTAACGTAAAATCTTGGTTTTTGTCTCGGTTTGTCTCGTCTTGGTTTTCCACATATAAAAAACGCAAAAAACTAAAAACCGAGATGAGGTAAATTGACTCCGAGTCACCACGATAGGAGTCGATACACGCGTATTTCTAGACTGAAACAGGAGCAAAGATTTCCATATTTACTGAGACCGAGATCATCTCCAAAGTTTTGTCTCGTGATGTCTCGTGAAGTGTCTCGCGGCATCACTAGTCAGATACCTTTGATTCTTTTGTTCACGATGAATTGAAATAGTTCCGTGTGTCCCCAACTTCCTTCATAAGGCGGTATCAGATCGACTTTTTCGCTCCACGCTCCACAGGCATAATCATAGAAATTGTCGCAGGGGTCTGCCGATTTGTTCATACTGCTTAGGAATTGTTTTGCTGGAAGAATGAAAAAAAAAATCCATAATTCACCATTTTTGACCCTATTTCAGCGCACTCACCGATGGCTTTGCAGGCGTCTGTCTGACAAACTGTGAATTCTTCCTTCTTCTCGACATCTCCATTCTTCCCCGTATCATGAAATAGCCATGCAATATTGCTATCATATTCCCCGGAATCGTCGGGAAATACTCCGAATTTCAAATTCTTCGCAAATACCGCTGCATTGACCACCAATATAATTTTGAAAATTCTAGTCGTATAAATTGAAAATATATTACACAATACCAGTCACTCTGTATGCGATGTGGATCAAAGTATCTCATTCTCACCCAATTATTTTAAACGCCATGGTAGTACCCGAATATCCAGCAAAACATACACTAGACCGAAACCATGGAACATCACAAATTAAACAACCCACACTCGGTTATTTGAACTAATATTAAAGCGGATGTACCTTGAACGATATCCGTCAATGCGTATCATTGTACAACGTGCATCCTCATGGAAACGATAATTGACAGTCAAGCGTACAATTATATGTTACAAAAGTTTTCCATATAAATCATTGTCATACATTCACACCTATCAGCAATCCTAGTTCAATTAATAATAGTTGTACGAATGCGTCATCCAATAGTCATATATTCTCATTACGCAGCATAGAAAATGATTTGGACAAAGGCATCATCACCATCGAATTCTTCGTTATCTGTAATTAGATGATTCGATTTATTCTGTCCGATGTAGACTCTCCTAATTGAACTCTTCAATTCAATTCCCCAACTCCTCTCCCTCCCTCCCACAGAAGGAGAGTTTAATAACTAGGAAACATTCACTAACATCAGATACACGGAGAGAAATTTTCTAGAAAAATTCTAGTACGAGTACTGGAAACAATCACAATCCACCGGCTGTGAAAAATTCAATTCAATTTCAATTTATTTCCTTGATGTTACAAAAGTTTTCTTTGTTTTACATCCATACAAGCCTCCCGTACTCTTTATTTTCATCTCTAATCTCATGTTATTTTCTTGTTTACCTACTCACTTATTGTCTAGTTCATGTATTTATTCATTTTTTATTAGTTTAATATCACGTAAGTCTCTTGTATCACATTTGCATAGTTTTTGGATTTTAAAATCACTCCCCTCCTGCTTCCGAGCTCCTTCCTTCGATTTCTCCTTGTCCTCTCGCCTGTTCTCGACTCCTTCTTTCTCCTCAACTTATTTAACCACCTCCTCCCACTTGCCTTCCCTTCTCCTGCCTCTCTCAGTACCATCTCCATCTTCCCCAGCCTGCTGTGAAAATTCTAGTGCTGTTAAGGTAAAATTTCTTGGTATTTCTGGTAAAATTTCTGGGGATTTCTGTGAAATTTTCACAGAAATACGGGGACAAATTCACGTTTTCCCCAATAAAATTTCTAATGCCGGCACTAGAATTTTTTCCTGGCCGTCACTTAGCGCCTCTTTTTCCGTGCTAGCACTAGAATTTTTCTAAAAAATTTCTCTCCATGTATTTACACTGCATCATATCAAGTCCAACTCCAAAGATGCTCACCACCACCGTCTTAATAATATGAACCTTATGAAATACGTATAAACCAGTTAAACTGAGGGCGCGTAAATTTGTATTACGTTTAATGACACTTTAGCTCTGGTCGTGTATATACACTCGTTGTGGAAAACTGGTATTAACCCCGTTTGGCCCTTCTGCACACTACCACACCGAAGTGAGCTCTCCGAGTAATCGAGTTTATCAAGATTTCACGGTTTCATTCTCCCCGAGCCAAGTAAACCGAAACATATTTCCACTTTTGAACTCATTCCAGTTGTTTCAACGTTTTTTCCCCAACTTTTTCGCTGTCAAGAACTATAGGTATTCCATTTTATTTTTCGTTGTTTCACCCTTGCCTTTTTCTGTTGGTTACACACGTGCCGTCCGAACTTTTTCGATTTAGCGGACTAAGCCAGAAGGGATACAGCCTGTATGAGGTATTATTGTCAGATGATCTCGATCCCACATGTTTCAGCACCAAGCAAAGCGCCATAAACTGCAATATTTTCTCCCATTACTGTGCGATGGAAATCTTGATGAATCGAAATCGCTCACTGAGATGTGCATTTCTCCCGTTGAATCACCAATCGACTTATTTTGCATCAAAATTTTTTACGTGCCACGCTCTTTTCCTATCTTGAAAATAGGGTCAGCCATCTTGAACCCTCAATCCATTCGATTTCCTGTCGTTCCGCTTCACTAGTCAAAATCATTTCCCCCGAAAACGTTCCTCGACTTTTCCAACTACGATACTCAGGGACTAGCGTAAACACACGCCCCCCTTTTGAAAAGTGGAAAAAGTATCGAAGAAGTTTGACTTCAAACTCCGGGGTAAATAATTCGTGTACATCTGCTGAGTTGTCATGTAATGAAAAAGCACGGGGAGTCAGTGCTTCGTAGACGAAATTATTTCACTGCTGGAGAATAAATTTACCTCACATCACGAAGTTGCCTCTTGTCTTCTGTTACGGGGTGAAATTTCACTGCGAAGCTCTTCCGCATAACCAAGGCTCTTTCTCCCTCCCCGTATCACCCACCATTCCAACCTGTTCGTGGGATAGAGCTCCATTTTCATAAAGCGTCTGAGTCGCTGACACTAAGAATACGATGGCGTTTAATCCCACTAATCTCACTGGGGATTAGCTCACAACGTTAAAAAGCCATTTCAATGTTAGTCCTTATCGTTGCATGGAACTGCTCGGGTTATTTCGTGCGCATCACCACTCCTCATCCACACTAACTTTCTAGTCCGGAAGCTGTTCCGTTACTCTCCAACAACTTGTATCGATGTTTTCCAACCCTCAGGTGTACCCACCAATGTACATGTATATTTCATCCAACATCACGAAGGTGTCTTGAGTTTACAGTTACTAGTTGCATCCTGGCACATCAAACTTGTGTACTCTACAAATTTCCATGTTCTCGCATGTATTACAAACATACATATTCCCTCCCTCTCTCCAGCTTTCGTACGCGCAAATCAACGAAATATTTGCATACTACGAGTATAACGTTGGAAAGGGTCGAGTGCATTAATGCACCTGGGATACGTATGAAAATAGTGAAGACCGGCTTCAAGCTCTAGCAAATTGGAGGACATAAATTAACTCGAGTCATTAGAAAATATAAATTTGCCTTGGTAGAGTGCCTTCGTCGTATCTCGGGCTATTAAATTTCATAGATAAAGATTTATGGGCCCTCTCAGTGCAGCTTGGTGATAAAATCTTGTCGAGGCAAAGGGAGAGCTCGTCGACAATTCAATACTCATTCATTACGGAGCTCGTGCCGAGAGTCGCATGATCTTAAAAATTAATGAAACTCCGCAGGGGTGGAAATTTCGTACGATGGGCCTGATGAGTAATGGGAACATTTTCGTGGGAAAATTTCTGCTGTCACTTAATTCATTGAAATAGTTCTGAACAAAGCTTTGGTTGAAGCTTACACTTTGTTTCCCTTTAAAAACTATTTGTTAAATTCAGCACTGAAAAAGGAAATCATTATTTAAACATGGAAGAGAATTAATTGTCCGTCATTTCCCTACGCGGAGAGAAATTTTTGATGAAAAATTATTCTACCATTCTATAAAAGTGTATCGCCTGTCATCGTCTCTTCATTCCTATCCCGAAATTTAGTAAAAATTAATATATGATGATCAAATTTTATTCTACGTTAGAGAAATTTTATCCTGACGCATAATAAATTTTTCCGTACTGATCTTCACTTTTCCTCATCCGGGGATTGGTATTGGCCCTGAAAAATATCGTTCACGGCTAGTGCCATGGGGTTTTTTTACTCGCGTGGTTGGCCAGTCCTTGCCTTCGGCTCAGACGCCAACTCCACGCGAGTAAAAAACCCCATAGCACTCGCCCTGAAATATACTATGTTGTCCTTCCAGTCCAATATTTTTTATGTAGATACCAACAAAAATTCTAGAACGGTTGGTAAATTTTACCCTACCGGTGCAGTAATTTTTACTCTACCGGCGCGGTAATTTTTATTTTTATCAGGATAAAATTTCTCTAACGTAGAATAAAATTTCATCATCATATATTAATTTGTTACTAAATTTCAGGATAGAAATGAGGTAATGATTACATGATACACTTTTATAAAACGATAGGATAATTTCTATCAAAAATTTCTCTCCGTGTAGGTGTATTTATAAGAATTCAGAACGAATTCTTCAGCTTCCTCAGCTGAAGGCCCCCAAAAACCACCCGAAACCCTAAAGTCAGCGCGTCCCTTATTCACATATCCAGAAATTTATAAATCCTTCAATTTAAGAGGATTAAAGTACCTCCTGAAACTGTTATTTTGGACTGTGCTGATACTGGATTAGCTATCCACAAAGTGTTCACCAGAAAGCTTCGAACCAACGGGCGTAATGCGCCCGTTATTAATCGTGGCTTAGGCAAACGGACAGACCCACTGTTTACCCCCGGCTTCTTCAACTGCCTTCCGCTCGGTTATCCAGCTCCTTCGGGTTACTTTGTCGAGATCTTAATTAAGTTTGTGATTTCGAGGAATGTCGTGTGTCTCAACATCGGGCCGCGCGCACTCACAGGTTTTAATCGGCCTGACGCATCTGTGCGCCTTCGGCGAATTC